ATAAATAAACCAGGTATAAAAAGGCAAAAAAAAAAAAAAAAAAGAAAAAGAAAGATAATCTCGTTTGGTATAGTATCCTTGGTTGAAATTGGTTTTCATTTAACACTTTGACTATATTTCCCATTCTTTCCTTGCCTGTATTGTTTCTGATGAGAGGTCCGATGTTAGCCTGATGGGGTGACCTTTGTAAGCAACTTGACATTTCCCTCTTGCCAATTTTAGTATCTTGTCTTTGTCTGTTGTTTTTGCCAATCTAGCTATGATGTACCTTGGAGAGGATCTTCTTGGGTTGATTCTATTTGGGGTTCTATGTATTCTTGGGTCTGGATATTTGAATGTCTTTCTAGGTTTGGAAAGTTTTCTTCCAGAATTTCATGGGATAGATTATCAATGCCCTTATTATTTTCTTCCTCTTCTGGAATACCAATTAACTGAATATTGAGGCGCTTGATGATATTCAGTGTTCCTCGCATATCATCCTCTTTTTTCTTGGTTGTTTTCTTGATCTTCTTGATACTTTTTTCTAGGTCAGAGTTTTTGTCTTCTACATTCGAGATATGATCTTCTGCATGATCTAATCTACTTTTAATACTTTCAAGGGAGGTTTTAATTTCCTGTATCACATTTTTCATCCCTAACAGTTCCATCTTATTCTTTTTTAAGGAGTCTATTTCTTCTTTCATATCTTGAAAGGACTTCCTCATTTCCTGGAGCTCATTGTCTCTTTTCTCTTGCATCTCAGTTAGTTTGATCACTACTAATATTCTGAATTGCTTATCTGACACATCCACAACATTCATTGTGTTGTCTGTGGGTGATGGAGGATTGATATTTTCCCTTGGAGGAGAGACATTTTGTTGGTTGCTCATATTTCTTGTGCTTCTGTGATTGTTCTTAGTCATTTGGTAGTCTATACATTCCTTCTTAACTTGTTCAAGGTACCTTTGAGTGTTGAAAGGTGTGCAGGAGTATGAAATTGGTGCTCTCTCTTCTGGTCTGCCTCCCTGTTGCTCAGGAGTACCCTGCACTATTGTCACAAGTCCTGGGTCACCCAAAGTCCTCCCTGTTTCTGAAGAGTGGTGAGTTTCCAACTAAGTTAATGAACTTCACATCAGGAGCAAAGAAAATATGGCATACATGTGCCATGCACTATTCAAAACATCAAAGTTCTGAGAGTTCAAAGGGAAGTGAAGGGGTGGATGAGCCATGAGTTCAGGCCATTAGGGCCTGCAACCACATGCAACCTGGTGTCTGGCAATGCTGCTAGCTTGAACCAGATGTGGTGGAGAGGGTGTCAAGTTTGTCTTAAAGTCCCAAGACACAAACCTGAAGTCCAAAAGCAAGTGGGGGTCGGGGGGATGAGCCATGGGTCCTAGCCATTAGAGACTGCAGCCATAGGCAGACTCTAGGGCCTATTCTTTTGGCCTATATTTTATTTAATAGTGTGGATTTGATCTCCAAATATCTTCTATTTTGTAGTTATCTTTCTGTATTTACTTTTAGAGTGATTGTCTCATAGATTGAGAATATACTTGGTATGTTTTCTCTTCTTTTAATTGTGTTCAAGTATGTTTTATGGCTCAGAATATATTATATCTTGGTAATGTGTGTATGTGTGTTGGGGGTGAGCTTGAGGAATACGTGAATTTCACAGTTTTTGGATAAAGTAGAAATGTCAATTAGATCATTGCTATTGAATGGTGATTTTCAGGTTAGCTATAGGCTTACTGATTTCTGCCTCCTTGTTCTATAAGTTACTGAATGAGAAGTGTTAAAATCTCCAGATATAATACTGAATATTTTTATTTTTCCTTCAAATTCTATTAGTTTTTTGTCACAAGCATTTTTATGTTCTTTTAGATGTGTACACTTTAAAAATTACTATTTTTCTCCAGAGAATTGAACATTTTAGCATTATACAATGAACAATTTTTTCCTCTAATGATTTTTCTTCTTCTGAAATCAGCTTTGTTGGAAAATAATATAGCTACTACAGTGCTCACTTTGGCAGCACATATACTCAAATTGAACCAATACATAGAAGATTATTATAACCCCTGTGCAAGGATAACACACAAATTCATGACGTATTTCATATTTTTCATGGTAATTAAGATGCTGGATCCCAAATTGCCAACTCTGCAGTTCAAGTCCCGGATCTGGTAGCTTGAAAATCATGCCATGTGCATGTGTGTGCATACCCAAATCCTGAGGGGAAAATGGAGGAGAACAGAGTGCACTGTGGCTATTCTCCTGGGGATGATTTTTCATATTTTCTCTCTCTCTGTTTCTAACTGTCTCTCTCTTGTGAACATATGCACTCTATGGGAAAAATCTAAAAAAGAAGTGTATATAATATAGATTTCATTTGATTTGTATTAGTGTGGTATAATCACCTACATTCTTTTGCTTTTTTCTTTGAACAGTTTTGAGAGGTAAATCGCATGCTTTCCAATTCATACATTTAAAGTATGCCATTCAATGCATTTTAGTATATTTATAGACATGTGTAACCATCACCACAATCAATTCGAAAACATATTTATTCCTTTTTAATACAATTATAGTAGTTTGTACCTTTCTAGGAATCTGTTCCTTTAAATATCTATGCTATTGGCATAGTATTACTTTATAAATTTAAGTTTGGTGCTAAGGCCTATCTCCCATTCATTTATAATTCTAATTATTTAAATCTCTTAATTTTCCTTAGATATTCTGACTAGAATTTTATCATTTTTTTGATCTTTTAAAAGAACCATGTTTCAGCTTTATTCACTTTCTCTATTTTTCTATTCTTCATTTCATTCATTTCTGCTATAATTTTTATCATATCCTTTCTGCTTGCTTTAGGTTTAGTTCCTCTCTGCCAGTGTATTAAGATTGATGGTTAGCATTTTTATTTAAGAACTCTATTTCTATCAGTTTGTCTTATATATTTTAGTGCTCTGTTATTAGGTGTATGTATATTTCAGTTGTTATAGCTTTCAAAAAGATTGTTTCTATAACCATACAAAATGTCCCTCATTATGTATAGTAACATTTGTTTGTTTTAAAGTCTATTTTTTTGTGATATTAGTGTAGTCATGTATTATCCCACTATTCATCTTTCTGGTAGTAACTAAATAATAGACCCTTTTCTCATCTTTTTCTGTAGGAATAATGAAATCATGTATGTTTTTTTAATTATTCATTTAATTTTATTTATCATTATTATTATATACTTCGAACAGAAATAGACAGAGGGAGAGAGGGAAAGTGAGAAATCAAGCCACCAGGTCCAAGATTTGAACCATAGTTGGCAATGTGGGAGTCCAGTGCCTTAACTACCATGTCACTTGCCAGCCCCATGTGTGTGTGTTTAATTTTTATCCAATTTGACAATCTGCCTTTTAATTAGATTTCTTAAAAAACTAAAACAGTTGAAAATTTTATTTTCATATTTCACAATACAAATGAAAACTGTACTTTTTTGTCCCACTTCTCTCCTCTTTCTAATTTTTTTTTTTAGTAGGAAGGGGAAGAAAGTCTTGCTTGACATGCTGTTAGAAAACATCCAGAGTCACAGTACCATAATCACTTGGTGAAGTAGAACAAGTTAATATAAAACTGACATTAAGAGACCTCCCTCCATCCTTATCTGTCTGTCCAGCCATTCCTGGCAGAGTGGGCACCATCATGGACCAGGCGGGAGGTCTCATCATTGGGGACCCAGGCATCATGGGCAAATGGCCTCCCATGGGTGATCTCATTCCAGGAGCAGGTCCCAATGGCATCATCCCAGGAAGATGAGGGCCCATCATTGCCATCATGGGAGAGTTCCCCATATGAGTTGCTGGCATCATGCCAAGGCAAAGAGGACCCAGGAGGCTGGGGGGAGGTGGGATCATCACCCCTACAGAAGGAGGAGCAGAGAATGAAGTAGGAGGTATCTTCCCTTGTTGGAATGCAGCCATTGCTTTATCAGTCAAGCTTTGAGCCTGCTCTTCCATCCTTTTCTGATGGTACTCTTTCACATTCTCTTTGTGTTTCCTACCACTGCGGTGTATTTTTCTCACAGGTGGAAAATCGTGGGTGAGGTATGGATCACAGCAGTCACAATAAAACTTAAGCGTGTTGCTCTGCAAGCCACCAGCCACTCCATTCCTTGATTAGATTGTTAAACCCATTCACATTTAAGGATATATGTATATAGTGGTATATGTGTGTGTATATATATGTCTTCCCCCCAATTTAATGCTTTTTTCCTTAAGTGAATATTTTATAATGTAGCATTTAAAACTCATTAAGTGATATTTTCACTTCACTTTTTGAGTATTTTTTAATTGTTGGCTCTAGTGCTAGTGCTCCTAACTTGTCAGAATGAGCTTCAGAGTTATACTAACTAAATTCTAGTGAGATACAGAATCATTTCATCTATATAGCTCTGTTTCTTTTCTTCCCTTTTAGGGTGTTTTTGTTATACTTATTGTACCTGTAAATATCACAAACCCAACAAGATATAGTTTTAATTACTACTTGCTATCGTTTAAAAATATGTCTTTTGAAGAAACTGAGGGGACCAGCAGGCAGCACGGAGGTTCAGGTGGCTAGATCCCACATGTCTGACTACGTGGTTCAAGTCCCAGATCCGGCAGCTTGAAAACCACACTGAGCATGTATGTGTGCATGCTCGAAGTCCAGAGAAGAAATTGGAGGAGAAGGAATTGTGGAGTGGTCATCCTGCAGAGGGGTGATTTTTCATTTTGTCTCTCTCTGTCTCTGGTGACTTCACATGCCCTATAGCAAAAACAAGAACATGAAAGAGAGCTGGCTGTGTGACCTGGTGATTAAGGCAGCCGGATCTCACATAGCTGGCCATGTGATTCAAGTCTTGGACTCCTTGGCTTATGAAACACTCTGGGTAAATGTGTGTGTTTGTCCAAAAACAAAAACAAAACAAAAAAATGGAGGGGAAAGGACTGCAGCATGACTAGTCTCATAAGGGGTGCTTTCTCCTTTCCCCCTCTCTGGCAAACATGCATATTCTCTAGTAAATAATAATAATATTAATGATAATAATAATCAAAAAAGAAAGAAAAAGCTGAAAGAAGAGAGAAGAGCAGCTATATATACATGCTTTTTGCTATATTGACATTTTTAGTTAACATTTATGGTTTTCTTCATTTGTTCTTACAGTTCTTTGTTTGCTACAAGTCATGTGTACTTGCCAGAGAGACAGAGAGATAGAGGAGGGAAGTGAAAAATCACTCCCCAGGAGGGATAGCCACTCCACAATTCCTTCTCCTCAATTTTCCTCTTGGGACTCTTGGCATGCAAGCACCTGTTCCTGGTTGTTTTCAAGCCACCAGGTCCGGGACTCAAGTCATGAAGTCAACCATGTGGGATCCAGCCATCCCAATCACCTGTGTTTTTGCAGAGTTGAATTACTATTTAGTGTCATTTCCTTAACCCAATACAACTTGGCTACCACCTACCTCATTTGTGATATTATTGGCAAATATATTACATTTTTGTATGTTGTATGCCACTTAACTGATTAATATTCATCCAAGCTAATGATATTTTAATATAACACTTCCTTTAGCGATGTCTGCATTTTACCAAGAATTTTCTGGAACTGAGCATGTGAAAGGAGATATAATGAAGCCGCTTATTATTTCAAAAATGGAGTTAAGAGGCCATAAAGGAGACGGAACTTATATACATAAGAGATGAACTGCCTAGAAACATAAACTTTGGCTCACATCAACCCTTTGGCAGAAGTTTCTGGAAAACCACAAGATATGCACCAAGGCCAGGATGTTATCGACCTCCTGTTTCATGGACATCCTTGTCTCCCTTTATCTTTCTCTAGCTCATGTAACTCACATAGTCCCCTCAGAGCTTTTGATCCTTCAGCAAAAGTTTCACTTCAAAGAATGCTAATTATCTTGTAATGATTTAAAACTTTTTGCATAAAAAGTCTTATATTCCCTCCTCACTTTTGGACACTAATGCAGTTTTCTATCTGAATCTGTTTCTCTGAGTTGTAATCCTCTTAAAATCCTAATTAAAGCTGTTTATAGAGATTCAGTCATTGAAATTAATTTGTGATATGTTGCCTTGTTTAAAATGTTTGTATAGTCTGAGATATTTCTAATGGTCCAAGGACACTTCCTAGTTCACATTACATAAGTCAGGATCCTAATTTGGGTTCTGACTTCTGATCACCATTGATCACATTATTCAAAACTTTCATGTATGTAACCAATATTCCACATTGAGTATTTCATATATTTTACTTATATTTGCTTATTTTATCTTCAATAAATTTTCCCTTACTTGTTGGTTATTCTGTCCTTTTTAATGTATACTTATTTTCATGTTTTATAAACAGTTTGGACCTTTCATGACACAATAATAAAACAGGTAACTAAGTTTTAACTTTCTGAAAAAGTGCTACTTAAATCATGACAACTTGAAAGCAATTTTACCAATTTTAACATGAGGAGCAGAAATACTGTAAGTTAAATGTCATGTTTTTGATTCCAAGGTGTTAACAGATGTTTGTAATCATGGTCTTGCTGAGATATATATTGCTATTTCTGAAAGGATATTTCCTTTCTATAAGACATATTGCTACAGTAGAGGGTAGAAAGATTATTTTAATTCATTTAAAAATATATAATACTAAATAAAAAACTCCTGCTAAAACACCACCCTTCCAAAAGTAAACATTTTTGGGACAAAAGGTGAAATGATGTTTGTAATTTGTAAGTTTATTTTCCTCAGAGTGCTGAAATTCAATAAAATATTTTAACCCCACTCTATATTTTTTAAGTAATTTTTAACTTTATTTTAGTTATTGATATAGAGAAAGTAAGAGAGAGATAGTTAACTTTATTTTAGGTATTGATATAGAGAAAGTAAGAGAGAGATAGAGAAGTGCTTGAGACAGAGTCTCGCCATGCCACAATCTCACCCGCACCCCTGCTCCCACCTCTCTTTCATCAAGGAACATAGGTGTGCACAGATATACCCTGTGTATTCAGACTGACTCAGGAGTTGAATCTAAGCCTCTTTTATGGCCTCAGTCTCATATTGCCAAATCTACGGTCATGTT